TCTTTCCTGCCTATGCAGGGGGTCGGACTCGATGATCTATTGAGGTCCCTTCCGACCCTAACATCTATGAATCTATGACTTCATTGGGGGCAGTTTTAGGGCTCTATTCTCTGGGTAACAGCCACAAGCAGTTTTAATCAGTAATACTATTCTTGATGTGTGCATTGTAAGAGTTTGCAAGATAGGAGCCTTAAATTGTAACTACAAAAGATGTTTGTCTAATTTAAAAAAAAAAAAGCAAATTCTGTGAAAATATCAGGGATCTGGGTTTTCTTTTTGCTATGGAAAAACATGGATTTTCTCCATTCAGAGAGGAAAAATGCAGATTTTATCCTTTTAAGGAAAAAAATGTGGGAACTGGCAGGTTTCCCCTTGTAGGCTGGCAGAGTTCCAGTCTGCAAGGGGCTGCATGTGCATGTGTGCATGCACATATGAATGTGACAGCCAGGCATCATGGAGAGCAGCTCCTGCAGGTAAGTCGGTGAATGTGCAATATTTTTTCTTTTTTTTTAATTGGAGAATTTGTTTGGTTTTTTTTTCCCAGGCCCCTGGAAATTATTAAACCCAGGTTGAAGTAACACAGTGTCACCCTAAATTGATTCTTTTTAAATTTGGTTGGGTTCTTTTTAAGAATTTGTTCCCCTAACGCCATGAAATTTATGCCATGTTTTGACACTGATCAAAATTAATGGCAGATTTAAATAAAGCTTTGCAAAAATTCTCTTGTATGTTTCTACTTCTAGCAGGTGCCAAAGTGAAAAACAACAAGACTCCTGTTTGTTTTTTAGGCATCAGGTGTGTCGTAGACTTAATCCTCTAAAGAGTACTTCACTGATCATTGATTTTTGGCATAAATGTTTACCTGTTTTTCCCCTCTTTCACATTAGATCTGCAAGTAAAGAAGGAATAGAAGGCGTTATTCCAACTTGTTTGGAGAGAACACAAAACCAACACAAAATGGCACAGCATAGCATTGTCCTTGGATTATTCATGATGACTGTTTTGTCACTATTGCATGGAAATTCAGCTTTCCTGTTAAATCAGCGTCTGAAGGGAAGATTTCAAAGGGACCGCAGAAACATCCGCCCAAACATCATTCTTGTTCTTACTGATGATCAGGATGTAGAACTTGGTAAGAGCCAAACTGTTTTAGAAATTTCACAGATACTGTATTGCCTTTGATTGTGTCCAGCTTCTGTACTCTACAGTCGTGGTTTAACCTTACTCTGCAGATAAACATTTATTTTTCAGCGCAAAAAGTATGATAGAAAAAGTGGTAACCCATCATTAAACGGAAAACATTTTCCAGTAACATTCTAAATCACTGAGAGCAAATGTATCATCAATTTAAAATTTAAATCATTCTGTTTCTGGGGATTTACATCCTGTTTTGGAAGGAGAACAGAATTTTTCTGTTTGTTCTTATCTACATATATAAACTGTGCTTCCTGAAATTTCATGCCCAAGCTAGGAAGTTGTGCACAAAAAGAGTAGGTTTAGATGTCTTAACAAGCTACTTAGATATGTAACTACTCAATTGCCGAATTAAGTTTCATGAAGCAGAGGCATAAATTGTTTTTCTCCCCATTCTAAATGTTTTATCTCAAAACGTTAGCGAAAATATTAAAATTGTTTGGGTTATTTTTCCCATAGCTATGAGTATACTTGAGTTCTATCCCCGAGAACTTAGCATCAAAGATTATCCAACTCTGATAATCCATTCTACTAGTAGATGCTTTAATTGAGGAAAGAAGATTAAGATTAAACAAATTCTTTGTGTAATGATTTGGAACATTAATGAAGTTGACAGGGTTTTTTCTAATAAGTTTCTCTTTGTAAAATGTTACATATCAAGATTAAGCAGTGATCAAAAAGCAGTTTTATGTTAGTCTCTTGATACATTTATAAATGGGCTCATACAGCCCAGATTTGCGTAAAATTGAGAGTTTGGGTGTGCTTGTTTCTTTTGACCATTATGAGAAACCAAATGTTCAGCCCAAAATATGTGAAAGTTTAGAAAACAAGTCTTGGGGGGGTGGGGGGAAGGGGGAAATGTACAGTCATAAAGTGTAGAGGTGCACCGATACATCAGGTCCATATTGGATTGGCACTGGTATAAAGTAAATTGACAGTATTAATGGCAGTTGGCTTTTTTGACTGATGGAGCCAATTATGTCACCAATAAATGCCCATGTGTGTGTACACCCACAGTATGCATGTGGCAGCATGGAGTGCAGAGCAGCTTCCGGCTGGTAAGTCTGTTGGGGCGGAGGGAGGGAAGGGGAATAGGCCCCCCATGGTGAGGGAGGGAGGGGGCAGGGGCTGGTGCTGCCCAGTCAGGGTGGGGCAGGGCATGGGACTGAGCTGCAGCTCATCTTTGGGGGGGGGCAGTTCCCACTGCTGTGTGCACCCCAGGACAGCTTGGGGGGTGCGTAACCCCAGATCTGCAAGCGGGGTGAAGGCAGGCTGGGGCTAGGGCTGTGCCAAGTAGTTCCTGCTGGGAGGTTGGACTGGGGCTGTGCCTAAGGCGGGAGGCAGCACTGAGAGTGGGACTATGGGGGGCGCTGTGGCCATCCCAAATTTTGCCGTAGCCCCACTCCATAACTCCCTCCCAGTACCACCACCACCACCTGGTCTGAGTGCAGCACCTGCCCAGCCCCCCCACTGGGAAGAATCTGCCCCCAGCCTCAGCCCCAGCTCACAGCGGCAGCCCACTCTTGATCCGCTCATTGATCTGGGGGCACATGCCCCCCCATGCCTTTCTGGGGTGCGTATAATGGCAGGAGCCGTCCCTGTGCCCCCCTGGATGAGCTACGGCTCCGTCCCATGCTCCACCCTGGCTGAACAGCCCCTACCCCAGCCCCACTCCCTCCCTCATCATGGGGACCTCGATCTGTCGCCCCCCTCGCCCCTTGCCTCGCCCCTTCCCCCACAACAGACTTACCAGCCAGATGCTGCTGTCCATGCTGCAAAGGGTGCATATCAGCAATCGGATCGGTATCAGCCCAATAAATCTCTATCAGTGCACCCCTAATAAAGTGAAGTACCTTTTGACAGCTGCTCTTCTAAGCCAGAACTGCAGTGTGGCAGCATGACACTGTGTTTATAGATGCTTCTTTTTGGTCAGTATTTCTGCATGTTAGAGAGCATATCGCAGTGTCCCATTGGTTCCAAAAGTGATTAGAAAATTTTCCACTGTAAAAAGCTAATGAATCAAACCTTAGTTTAAGTGAGGCAGAGTCTGATGGGATTTTTTGAGGGACAGTAATGTTTTTAACAATTAGACAGACTGTTTCAATAATGCATATCCAAAAAACCCAAGTACATTATCTCAGAGTCTCATGTGACTAAAATCCAGAGGGTGGTCCTAAAAAATTCATCAATTTCTATTTATGTTGGCCTGCTTGTCTCTGATGCAATTGTCCAAGTCCTCTGGGCAGCATACTACCTTTCTCAGATAATCTGATGTTTCTTTTCAATTTCAAGCCTAATGGGCATGTGTCCACACAAATTAGGATCTGGCTTGGAAAAAAATGCATTTTTGTGAAGCCAAGGTTTGTTATTAATCATATTTCACTAATGCTTCATGAGACACAATGTTTGTTTGAAGCAATTGTTATTCTTAACTGATCTGACAAATCTTCCAATGTTATCAAAACTGCCATTTGTGAGTACTGGGCCTAGCGTGTATTAAGGGAAATGGTAACAACATGTCAACTGCAGTTTGTTTTATAGATTACAAATACTAGCTAACAAAATCTTGGGAATTTTGGAGGTATAGGAGGGAAAGTTGAGCATAGTCAGGAACACCAATATTTCTAAGGAAATCCTGTGCCATTGGTGGCAAGATGGCATTTCCTTTTGTTGTTCTGCTAAAATTGTTTTATGGCTATTCTGAAATGAAAAGAAAGATGAAACAATCTCAGGCATGTTAACAGCCTTCCCCTTATTTAATCTAAAAAGTTTTTAACAATATAGCAGTAACAGGTGTGGTTTGCAAGGAGGAGATGCAGACCATTCAGGAAAAGGCTCAACTTCCTTTCTTATTTGCACGGGTGTTTTAATCATGATTTTTATTCAGGAAACCAAACCCTTGCCATGGATTGAAACAAGGGAGAAACTGTTGAAAATTGTACAATTTTTGGTTCAGATTTGAGCAAATTGTGCAAATTGTGATGGATACAAATGAGAAAAGACAACTGCTTTCTCCTTATCTCTCTTCACAAGAAGACCAGTAGCAGTTTAGCCAGCTATATACAAGTGACACACAGTCACTTGTTGCTCTTTGTGTCAGAAGAGCCATACAGAGCGTAGTAGACAAAGTGATTCATAGGAAAGAAGAGGGGAAATATATGGGCGAAAAGGTTAGTTTTCCAGTTAAATCTGATTATCCAAGCTATCATAGTGCCAGTGGGCCCCTGCAGTATAGATTCTAGGGTTTTTTGGATGCTGTATTACTATAGTTACAGCAGGTCAGCAAAATCCACTTTCCTCTGTTGTAGAAAAAGAGGGCTTTGGTTACCTGCAGGATCTGAGTTACGTGTTGATGTATGTCATGCTGAAGAAGTATAAGTTTTGCACAGAAGACAATGTGCCTGTTGGTGGTCCTAACCAGAGAAGAGAAAACCTGTTAGCAGCTTTTAATGACAAATGGGGGAAAGAAAAGAAATTGGGGAAAAATTGTATCTTGAATGGTTCAATTAGAAAGTAAGCATAACGAAGAGAGGTAATTAGCATTCCAGGGGTTGAGCATACATGTCCACCTACAGGTGTCACCTCTCAAATTTAGCTTCAACACAGATGAAGTCACTTGGGGCTTAATTCAAGCTTTTCAACAACGGGAGCTGCCAAACTCTGACATTAATTGTATGATCTCTGACAATAAAATGTTAGTTAATGAAAAATTCAATATTACTTCTTCAAACAGCTGCTAAATTGATTAAGGATTTTAGCAAGTTTCTACTATTGGCTTGTGCTGAAGAATTCACAATAAATTCTTTCTTCAATACAGTCGATTACATTTGCATATCAAACATTCATATGTTCCTCTCTTCAAGAAGTGAGTGTATTTTAAATATAACAAAAGGAAATATAATGTGGTAAATCCATATAATTTATTTTAGAATTGTACACCATTACAGTGTGCTGTTGTTGATGAGCTGTGAGAGACCAGTAAAATAGTACAGGAAAAATAGTTTCTTGAATGCTAAAATTTGAATTTAATGTATAACTGGTACCTTGTATTTGTGATGTGATTGCATCTGTTGCAAAATATGATCAAGATAAACTTCCTTCATGTGGATAACACTTCTAGTGCAACTGAACAGGTCCCAAGGAAGATGATCCAGCCATAGTGTGAATAATTAATAAATATAACTGGGCAAAAAATATGTGGGAAACAGTGTACAACAGTTGCACATTTTGGAATCCTGGTACAACATATTAAAAATGTGTGCTGTTTTGCTCCACAAAAACAGCATTGGTGTGCACACCACTAGCCATTTATGTGCTAGTCAAGTATCTGTAAATAACTACAGGTTTCCCTAGTTTTATGCGGGTTCTGTATCTGCAAATTCACTCTTGTGCGATAACTTTTTTCATACCAGAAATTCGTTATATGCGAGGTAAATTCACTTGTATGTGATCGGTGTGGTGGAAGCCTGCAGTCAGCTGCTTTGTGCGGTGCATTGTTGGAGTGACGAGCACCAAAATATAGTCTCCTGTGTGGATCTGTGCTCCTTGCTCATTGTCTGCGACACGTGTTTCCGTAGTTGTCATCCCCATTGTGATAGTGCCCTGTGCTTGTGTGCGCTGTCTGCTGTTAGTGAGTACCAAAAATTGTCTTGTAAAAGTGGTAGAAATGGGTCTGGGGGTCAGTACAGATGTCTTGGAACATCTCCCTATTTGTTACATTGTAAAGTGAGTTCCCTTTACGTGAATTTGAGTTATGTGCTGTTTTCCAAGAATGCATGTACAGCATAAAGTGAAGGAAACCTGTACCTGTTTGTATGTGCAGTCTTCAGACTTGCATACAATGTAAGGTTTTTAAAAGCACCTGATGAGAAGCTTGCACTTCTGTTGCATCAGTGCAACGAAGTCCTTATGGTTTCTTAATGTGCCTTGTCATGAATTGTTATTAGAAAAACTTAGGATAATTCTCCTACATATGCCATGCTGTGATTTTAATGTTTCTGTCAGTCTTCTTATACTTGGTTTTCTTATTTTTGAATGATGTTAGAACTCTTCTGTGATATGCATTTTTCAGCTTCATCATATCCTTAGAAGATACTGCAGCACTTATCATAAAATGGGTATTTATTCTGAAATCTTAACCGTGCTGCAAAAGATCCCTACTATTGTCATTTTAACAAACTTCCTGGTGCCTGAGATGCCTCTGTCTTCATGTTCTGTTATAACTCTTCCATCATTCATGTTCAGCAGAGGAGAAAATAAAGGACTTTCTGACCCTTAATGAAGGGAAAGCTTCCTTCCCAGATGGTGGGGGATAATTGTTAGTGCAAAAAACAAAGGGCTATAAAAAGGAGTGACTTCTTCAGTGTATGCCGTTGAGCTTGCATAGTTGCATAAGTGTTTCCTCAATGTCAAGGTTCCACTCAAGGACTGTAAAAAGTTTGTTCATTTTTTTTCCATTATAATATTAGTCTACACGCTGTTGTCAGTGATGTAATGATCTCTGAGGAAAGACTAAGCACAAAAAAACCCCTGTGAAGTCCAGACTAAATCTCAATCTAGTTCCTGTTTCTCTTTGTGTCTTGACCTGTTGGATCTTTTTTCAAAGTCCTGTAGAGTGTCTTTTTATAATTCACCAAATATCATGCGCTTAATAACTAAGTTACCTTTATTTTTGTACCTATGATTTTAGTCTTGTAACAGAGATCTTTTTCTGAATAAAATATTGATGCATGAAAGTGTAACTTCTCTTAGAACATGAGAATCTAACTAATGAAATCCCAAAAGGTTTCCCCACTTGAGAAAAGAAGGTTTGCTGGTTTCCAATTGCTGCTTAACACACAAGTGATGTTGTGCCATAGAAGAATCCAATTTCTACTTTCTTTTTATGTCACCAAGTTTATGTTGGAGGCAGGAGGAAGAAAATAAGTTTTGGTTGGCTGGCTTAGCATTATTTAAAATATTTAAAGCTGGCCTATTTAAGATTGCACGGAAAGGGATGCTGGATTTTTACCTTCCACTGGTCTGTCACTCTGCATTAGTTCTCAAGCTGGGGAAGAAGATTAGATCATATGTTTTTATATTAAAGACTGTTGATATATAAGGTCTTGTCATTACAGCAGTTTTATTAAAGGAGGTTACTGTCCCCAAGGGAAGACTTAACATGTAGTATTATTTATGCACAGATGCCTCTGTCATTTAAAGGGGTTGTTAAAATTGCAGTTAGGAGTAGAATGACAAAACATTCCTTCAGCCTGCTTACTTATTTTTGGGTTAACTCATGAGACAGAGCAGAGCAGATACCTTCACTTTTCAGGCTCACATGCTGTACAGATGGCTTTGTTATAACTGAGGTTAGAGGAGACTTTGAAGAAAGGGGAGACTGCTCCTAAAATGCAATTTTCTATCTTGTGATCACAACAAGGTCTTTCTTTGTTTACAAACTTCTTCTTAATATGTGCAATATAACAATTTCTTCTGTATAGGAGCCACTATATCAATGTAAGAGAGACTTCTAGGGATGAACTCTGGCCACTTAAAAAAACTCCTTAACAACTCTTATTTTTCCCTGTCAAACACACAGTGGTCTCAAGAAATCTAATGACTTGGGGAATTTTAAAATAAAAGGACTAGTAAGAGGAATTCGTCTCCCTTCATGGAACCAGAGAGTCAATTTCCTGTATGGATTTCAACCATTTTTCCCTCTAGGTTTTGACTCCTGGTTGCATCAATGTGCCCTGTATCAAATCAACTCACTGTTGCAATTTCATAATGAAATCTCTACCTAAAGAGCTTAGAAGAAATCTAAACCCATTATTGATGGAAACAACATACAGTTTGTGCCAGATGGTTGCAGGATGCATTGATTAAAACTGAACCATTAATCCAACCCAACCTTGGGTAAGTTTCACTATACTCTAGCTCCACTCCAACATGAAACCTTATGCTAATCCTGATGTTGTTCACAATATTCTCTACTGATATTTGGTAGAAGAAGGGTATGATCATGCAACATTTGCTTTGTTTCAGTGTCTATTCTGTTCATTTTTGAGGGGATAGTGTTGGTCACGTGCTATTTTTATGTGCTTTGAAGAAGGAACTTCTTTCCAGGGCAAGTGTAGCCCAGCAGCAAGTTTCCTCCATTGGTGTCCTTTAATCTAACCTAGAGGGATCACCTTGGTGCAGGAAAGAGGAAACTCATTCTCCATGCACTTTCAACCCTGGATTCTCTGCACAGACAGGCAATAAAATGCCAGTTGTGAAACCAGTTTCTGTAAAGTGGATATCTTCCCACTAGGAACCATGTTGAATCCTTGTATATAAGAAATGAGTAGCCATTGAATGCCAGTGGCATTTGGTATTGTTGACCTTGGCTGTTAAAAGGCTTTGTATCCCATTACCCTGAACTGTCTAAATCTCCTATGATATAAACCTCTTAGTGTTAACAGACTTGTTATGGCCTTTGCTATGTTACCAACCTCATGTAAAATCAGTGAGGGGCCATTGTTGTGGAACCAAGCCCCAAATCACTGTAAAGTAAAAACTATGACAGAGGTGGACTGAATTTTAGTCTCTTGTAGTACTAGTACATGAGGCTGACCCATCTGGGACAAATTGTGACAAAATTCACTAGACCGATTCCTTATGGTTTCATCCATTGCTTTCTTGTGGGGTGCAAGGAGAATGGGGTGGCAAGTTCTAAGCAACCTTACCTGCCAACAAATGAGGGAAGGAAAGAAGAAAAGAGAAGATGATGGCCTTGTGTCAACTATTTTTTTTTTTTTTTTAGGGTTAAATTGTTTCGTGTATGGAACCCCAGCCAAAAGCTAATGCACCACCAAACTCCTCAAAATAAGGTGCAAGCCCTATTTAATAGAATCTGGGATTTCATTCATGGTTAACTCCATGAGCAGTACCTGTGGTTCCAGAGAGACTACTTGCAGAGTGTCATACAACTCAGCGGGCACGTCTTCATGTGCTGTTCTAGCAACTGAATAAACTGGCTCAGTTCACTCCAGAGTTTATTGCTCCTGAGCGCACTGTTTGCGCATGCACCCAGGACTGCAGCATGTTGAGCCGAGGTGGAGCAGCCCCAGCTGGCTGGGGATGCAGGGGATCGGCCTGCCAGCCCAGGGCTACTCTGAGTTAGCTCAGCATGGTGCAGAGGGGCTGGTTGGAGAACACAGGTGTTTCAGTGTGGGGCTAGCCAGCACGTAGCCTCTGCACTGAAGCACCCTTGTGCCCCAGCCAGCCCTGCCAGCATCTAAACATGCATTTCAGCGGAACAAATAATTCCACCATAGGATAGCACTTGTGTTTGGCAGTACTATCCTACAGCTGAGTTAATTAATTTACTCCATCCTAATAACCCTGCACATGTAGACGATGAAGTTTTACTGTGGAGCTAATTAGGCAACTCCGTAGTAAATGTCTTGTGAGACGTGCTCACTCTGGCAGAATTTGGACCCTAGCTTGCAAGATACTGAGGCATTCTGGTGTTGGACTCCCACAGATGTCAACAGGGCTTAGTAAAATCTCAGCTACGACTTCAACATCGGGCCCCATATGAGGATCCTGATAACAAGACAGAATCTTGCATTGGACTTGTGCTGACTAATACCTTATAACGTCTTTACCATATCAGCTTACAGGGTTTTGTTCTGGTTTGTTTTAACTGAAAACAAGAGAAGCTTTTGTCAGCCATGGATGGTTTTCTTCTTTCAGGTTCTATGCAAGTGATGAATAAAACAAGGCGGATCATGGAACAGGGAGGTGCCCACTTCATCAATGCTTTTGTGACGACACCAATGTGCTGCCCATCCCGCTCTTCTATTCTCACCGGAAAATATGTCCACAATCACAACACCTATACTAACAATGAGAACTGCTCCTCTCCATCCTGGCAAGCTCAGCATGAAATACGCACATTTGCGGTGTACCTCAATAACACGGGATACAGGACAGGTAAGGCCAATGTACCAAATGGTCTTTAACTGACAACTGCCACAGACCTTACTACACATGGTGGTATTGGCACCCATTTTTTCTGGTCAGTTGAGCAATATGTTTTCAAAGGTTGAGGAAGAGGGAGGAAGAGGGCTTGCTCCAGGAGCTGAATATCTTAGCTAGGGAATGAACCAGGACACAACCTACACAGCACTTGGGCGACTTGCCAGTAGGCTCCCTACATGTGTCTAAAGTACATAGGACATACCCTTCAATGATATTGAAAGACAGTGTGGAGGAGAGGGTTTCAGAGTGCACAGTGAGAGGAGATGGCATTCTTAAAACACCTAAGTTGTTAGTTTAATAAAACTAGAGGAAGGAGAGAAAGGGTTTCTTGTTCAGTGTATGGTGGGGGAGCTTTGAATTGGATCGGTTACTATGGAGATGATAACCTGTTCTCATATAGAGGATTAAGGAAAGATTTCAGGTGAGGAGTGAGCAGCAGGAGTAGAAGAACTGTTGAGAAACGTAAGATCCTGTTTGCATGCAAATGCCCTTACTAATAAAGAGGCCGTGAAGTAGAGTGGTGAAAATGTGAGGTTCTGTTTCACACTCGTTTCCTTTTTTGTAGTCATGCAGTTCAGGACCTTGCCCATTACAGCGCTGCTGTCACACTCCTGAGTTTACTCGTGCTGTGTTGCTCATTAACACCTTGTTATGGCATGTCAGTAAGCAGGGTTTCAGAGGGAAACATAAGCCTGAAAATATTCATGTAGCTGTCTGGGTCAGGGTCTATCACGTACCATATGTTTGTACTGCACTAGCACAATGGGGCCCCGACCTGGGTTTGAGGCTGCTAGGCACTACCACATTATAAATGTTAATTAGTTATTACAGCACATGGGCACACTGGGCTCAGATTGCAGAAGCCGAGTTTCAAACTAAATTTGGTCATTTCCTCCTAAAGTAAAGGAAGGCCTGCCTTAGTTCTGAAAGAAAGAAATAGGGACAAAATGTAAATGTCTCATAGCTTGATAGCAATTTCCATTCACTTATCATTTCAGGCATTAGTACCTGTGACTGCATATCCATCAAGTCAAGGTCAATGATTTCCTCTTTATAATGCATTTTGTCCTTTGTTTGCTGATATTTGATCATTATCATTGTTGTTAGGATAGTCACTGGCCATGTCACAAGCAACTTCATCTCCCACTGATTTCAGTAGGAGTTTCAAACATTCAATAGTGTCATGATCTGTCATGATTTGGACCCCAAATTAAAAATTATGTTCAATTATTTTTCCTTCTAAATAGTAAAATGTACAGTTTTTTTCCCTATTAATGTGCAGACCAAATTTCTTGGAATAATGATTGGCATATGCAAAAATGCCACTTTTCTGAGTGCAAACTATGACTAACGTGGTGACTGAAATCTTCAGTACACGCAGGCAATCACAGAGTTTTTCTCATCAGACTTACTCAACAGTACCTGCTATTAGTGACTGGTTGGAATTTTGAACTATGGTTTTATTAAAGGGCTTGAGTTCCCTGATAAGGGTGCATAGCTGTGTGTGTGGGCACATTTTACTTACTTCTTCCAGAGATTTTATCAGATTTACTTGCTTCACTAATTCAGTAGAAAATAAGTTTTAAAAGCTTTGAACGCTCAGCATCTCATATTTCCAGAGCCAGGGTGTTTTGGATCTCATCAGTAAAACTTCACTGAAATGAGAAGTCTGTATAAGAGTGGCTGCAGCAGTGAGCAAAGTTCCTGATTCACGAAAGTACTTGAGCACAAGTGTAAATCTCACAGAGCTGCAAAACTAAAGGGCAATGGAGGAGGGGAGGAAAGGGGTGCTTTCCATCTAAGGGGTGCTGTAGCCATCTAAGCCCACTCATTTTGCTCACTTGCTCTCTTCTGTTCGTGCTCGTCTCAGCTTTACGTTCCTTAAGCTTCCCTGCCTCTGCCCTCATTCATGTTAGTTTGTGCCTCCAGCTGAAGTTTGTGTGGTTTCAGTCTCTCCCTGCATTTTGGTCTTCTTGCAGAAAAGGATTCTCACCCCCTATGGGAGCTTCCTACCTGCACTGTGGCATTTTTCCAATGGCAGTGACATCCGGTGGCTTGTATTTGTTCAGACTTGTGCAGTTCCAGCTAGATTCATGCTGCTGCTGAAACTACTGGACAAGTGCCACTTGTGCGTGGGCAGAAAAATCAATATGATGCAGGATTCTCCCACACTTGGTCAAACGGAAAAAGTGTGGGAGGGCATAGAAACAGCATAACATTGCCACGAGCACTTTCACACGTTCAGTCTTTCTGCAGTTTTGCACTCTCTACCTGTCTATGATAATTCAGAGAAATTCATTGTATTAAGCACAGAAACACAGTAAAAAAGGGTGAAATTTTGGTCTTATTTGAAGTCATGGGGAGTTCCATCACTGACTTAAACAGAGCCAGGATTTCTCCCAGCGTGCAGAATACTCGAGCTTTCACCTTTGTATGGATCAGTCAGAATAAACATAGGGATAGTGCAGAGCTTGATTCCCCTATTTTTTCCCCCCCTTTCTTTCTGCCACTAAACTCCTAGAGTCTGTGAATAGATGTGTGCTCTCCTGAGCATTCATTTGAATTACAGTCCGGAAAATGTCATCATTGTAAGGGGTAACTATGAAGGCCGGGTTGTTCCCCCTGCAGGCCCAGCTCTGTACATTCTGGCTCTCTGTATCTTAATCCTACTTTGAGGAGTGTCTCACGTCATTGCCTTATTACATATTGTGGGAAATTATGCAGGAAGGACAATTTAAGTAAACAAGCATGTCGGTTGAAAAATTCATCTGTGGAAAGCTGGTGAAGCTCTGCTGCCTGAATCATCACTAACTGAAAATAGTGGGCACTAATGCTCAGTCCCTGAGCAGGACATGACTAGAATGGAGGGAAAACAAAGAGATCCTGTAATAAACGTTTCTGAATGTCAGAGAATTAACCCTGCCAAAAGTGCCTTGTAGAAACATTTATAAAAAAAAGTTCTGTTTTTTTGAACACACGCTTTTCTTTCCAGGATGCAGCATTTAAAATGCATGATGCATTGTTGTTTATTTATTTCCTGCAACAAATACCAACAATTTATTTTGTAACACAAATCTAAACTTTTCCTTACACATTACTTAATGAGAAGAGCTTCCCTCTTCCGTTTGTTTAATTGTCTAACTAAGGGGTCAGCAAACTACAGCCTACAGTCTGGATCCAGCCCATGCAGCCTTTGGATCTGGCCCACAGAGCTATGGCTTTGGCGGTGGGGGGCTCTGCCTACACTGCGTTTCAGTTAGGCACCTGGGGTCTAGGCAGAGGGGAGCTCCCCCAGGGTGCCTACAGATGTTCAGGGCCTTGCTCTAACTCATGGCGCTTTACATAAAGTGCCATGAGTTAACCCCCCTGTTGGGTCAGGGGTGGGGGACTGGAGCCCTGGCCAGCAGTTGGGGCACTCCAGCAGCTTCTAAAGAGGTTGCTGAACTGCCCTTCTCCCGAGCAGGACGGGGAGAGGGAGCAGCATCATGGAGCTGCCAGCTGCTTTTGAATGAGAGTGGGGGAGGGTGGGGGGACTGTGCTGGAATGGAGCCCCCTTTGCCTCACAGGCCCGGCCTGGCCCGGCTCCCCCCAGTACTCCAGTCGGGGGGAGGAGGGCGGCTCCATTCCATCCTTCCCCCCTGCCTCCCTTAGCTCTGGCCACTTAAAAGCAGCCAGCAGCTCCATGCTGCTGTTCCCCTTCTCCCTTCCTCCCCCACCCCTACACACAAAATGAATCCTGGAGGGAACACAAGTTCCCTAAGGTGCTTTGCTTTACAGTGCTAGTACTTCATTTGACCAAGGTTAATTTTTTGCATGGTCAGCTGTTTTAAAAGTGCTCTGCAGCCATGCACGTGCATAAAGTCACAGCTGTAGAGCGCTTTCAGGGACTCTATCATGTAAAAAATGTCACTTGTATAAGCATCCCCAATGCTGCACCACAGTCAGGTAGCAGGCAGAAGCAGTGGAGGTGGGTGAATCTTAGCATCTGCTTACCTCAGACCTGAGCTGAGTTGTTCTGGCTCTCTCTGCCAGTAAATGTTGCCACTCGCTGGTATAACTCATTAGGTCTTAAAATTGGTGACTGATTTCTAGAACATTTTGTGGATTATTTCAGCCTAATCTACAGGAAATGAAAACACATGCATGTTTTATGACATTCAGTAGGATTAGGAATGATGAGCCAAATCCAGCCTGGTAGAAGAGCACACTGTCAGTACTTACTGTGCATCTGGCCCCACTGTTTTTGGTGACGCTAAGGACTACTTGTGAATTAGGATGTCAGAATCTGGCCTTCTGACATTGGGTTCATACTTGAATTATACAGAAATTTAATACCATTTTACAGCATTCATGTGTTAAGAATTCATAGAAATATTATTAGAGGTCTGTATGTACCATAATTTGAAATTTCCTGGGAATAAAGGTAATAATCATACTTCGTTCTTTCACAGGCTTTGCAATAATTAACAAATTAATTCATTAAAATTCAGTCGCAATCTTCCATTTCCTCCCATTAATATTACACTAAAAAGATACAGTGGCTGACTGCATTTAAATAATTATTTTTCCACTTCACTGTCTAAGGCTTTGACATTTCAAAGTTACTTTTACATTAAAGTCTGAGGAACAGGAGGAAGGCTGTTGGTAAATGTTTATTAAAGGAGGAATGAACCTGGAAAATATGTGACTGGATTGTAATGTACAAATACAAGCCAAGAGTAAAATTCTGAGTTTATCAACTCCCCAAAGTTTGTACTATTTGTATTATGAAAGTGTTTAGGCCAGTGCTTTTCAATTTTTTTAGGCTCAAGGCGCCCCTCAGAAAATACCAGCTCTTAGCTTTTACTTATTTTTTGACTATGGAAAAATAATAGAGCAATTCTTCTGTAGCAGAGAACTCAGAAAGCCCATAACAGGTGAGAATGTTTTTAACAGTAGGGATTCTTACTTGT